TTCTGGATTTTTTTTCTCATTTTGTCTCTCATAGTTGAGGTATACCTATGATGAAAATTACAGGCCTCTCTCATCTTTTTAAGTGGGAGAACTTGCACAATTGGTGGCTGACTAAATACTTTTTTGCCCCACTGTATATATACACATACACATACACACACACAGGGTCAGAAGACTCTATAATTGAAGAAAACTCACATGTACAACATCAGGTTTGTTAATTGCCATTTCTAACTCTGTGGTGTGCTTTTTCTTTTAATAATCTGAACATTATTTATAATGTGTAATTCTTTAATATTGAGAACGATTTTTAGAACTATATCTTTATCGTTATCTTTATAGTTAACGTCCTTGGTGTGAACGGGCCTTTAGTCTGTTAGACTTAATTACATGTACATATGTTAATGGAGCGTAAAGAAGAGCTCTCCTTGGCACACATACATCTTGTCACAAAACTCGTCTGAGTGTGGAAGTAAAAAATAGCCACATGGGGGAGCGTCTTGTGTGATAAATGGATTTCTGTGCTTGTAGATTTTCATGCAATCAATTACTTTATCAAGAGACTTTCTTTTCTGGGCCTGAACATCTGCTGCGTTCTCATTCTCTTGCTGTGGCAAGTAATAAGAGGAAATGTAACTTTAAATGTGACTGATATCAAACTTTTGGCCCCAAACTCTGTGAAACCTTAAAACTTTTCAGAATTCTGATTTCAGCTGACTCCAAGTTAACAGCTATTGTGCTGGATGCAGGCAAACAAACATTTTGTTGGCGAGTGCAGATCTATATCAGATTGTTTTAGAGGTATCTTGTCTGGCCTGGTGTAAACATTAGCTTTTGTATTTGCTTGTCTCTTTACAGGGGTACCTGCCAGCCAATGCAGAGCGGAGAGAAAGCACATTGCAGAGAAAGCGGCAGGAATATTTTGGCTTTATTGAGCAGTACTACGACTCCCGTAATGATGAACACCATCAGGACACATACAGACAGGTAACTACATTTAATTCTAGATACTCTTCCTATGATTCAGATACAAACTGGTGTTCTGTTACTCCTTATATAAGCATTATTAGTCCAAATTATCATATTTTTTTATGTTAGAACTGTAAGATGTGTTAGATGAGATGCTATCTAAAATAAAATTAACTTCGCAGGAAAAGTACTTAGTTTTAAGCACAGTAAATGTTGCACCCCCTTTAAATGTTGTCCCACCGCAGAACTCTCAACCCTCTCGAGTGTGTCCAACAAATTAAAATCATGCAGCATCATAATTTTGACATGTTAAATAGTTTTTCAATTGAAGTAGAAATAGGTTTGAAGAAGCAATACTTTAATTTAAACAATGTCCCACATTTTGCATGCAGCCCTGTTTTTGCATGATTTCTGTGCATTGGTGTAATTAATGTTCCTTAAATTTGTAACGCTTGCATATTTTGGTAAACAGACAAATATACAACCATATATTCAGCCATTCAAAAATGGGAGAAAAATAAATAAATAAAAACCGGCTACAGACAGACTTGCAGACTTTGGTCCAAAATAGCTAGTTGCTGTTGTTTAATTTAAATAATATATATATATTTTTTAATAATAATAATTCAGACAATGATACAAACTGGTAACATGGTTGAAATTGCAAATCTCATCTAAAAATTTATATTAAAAAGTTATTTATAAAATAAAACTGCTGCTTTTTGCTGACTATTTGTTGGAGGGGACAAAAATGACACTTCTTTTCTAGGGTTTTTATCCATATTTTGTGCCTTGGTCATAGAAAAAGGCTTCCTACAGTACTAGAGAATACAGGTAACTGAACTTTATGCAGGATGGCAGCAATAAATAGCTGAACCAAATACTCTTGAGATGATTCAGATCTTCCTGTGATTTTCTTTTAACTTCCTGACTTCCCATACAGCTCTGCACAGACAGAGCTAATTCTGCTGTTAATAGAAGATTTTTTTAAGTTCAAAGCCAGCAGTTCAGTTTTGCCAGGGGTTGAATGTAATGTAGTCAGGGTTTTTGGTTGTTTTTATGTACTGATTGAGGTTTTGGCAGCAGCAGTATGTTAGCTTTGCCAAAACACTGTTATGTTAGGAGCTCATAGTGTTTAGAAATGCCATCAACAGATAGTCTTTAATATTTAGATGCAAAAGAGGACAAGGAATGTTTAAATCTCCAGTGTATTGGCAGGAGGATGTGAAGATCAAGCTGTTGCTGTCACTCTGATCTGATTAATGTCTGCCTGATTTAAGACTGATCGCTGGCGTTGTGAGATTCACACATTTGTTTCACCTCTTTCAAGCTATGTATGCGTGATTCTCACAAAGTCTGTTAAGAAAATTTCAATCCAAAATGGTTGTGAATAAATAAAAATAAATACATAAATATGTATTATTAAAAATAAATAAGAAGTTATTTTGCATTTTACAATCATTCTTAGAAATGTAGATGTTTTCATGATAGTACAGCTTCATTTGGTACATTTAGTACAGAATTAAATTTGACATAAATTGGAAAAACATTTTAATATACGTTTACTGTGATTGTTATTATTTTGTAATTCATTTAATTGAATTTAATTGAAAGTAAAATGATACACAATATTTAGTGTTTGTTCTAATGCCTTAAATTTATGATTAAAACAAATCCAGTTATTTCTTACAGTAATAAAACACGGAGAATCTGATGCGAGAATCTAATCATTGTTGGGAGGTTGGAAATTGCTCAATTTTCATTAAAATAGCTAACGCAATCATATAAAAAAATACATTGATATATAACCTAATAAAACATATTTATAAAACTCTAGGAAGATTTAAATATAAAATTAAAGGTACAATATGTAAGTTTTCACCGCTAGAGGGCGCGTATTCAAAACAAACAAAGAAACAAAGGCATAGTTTGATGACGCCGTGACTGAGTGTGGAATCATGGGAGTTGTCGTCTTCATCCCCACAGCCGACGCAATCCGACGGGATTTATTAACATCGTAGTATGAAGCAGAGCGAGGTAGAAAGCCGTCGAAACGAGGCCGCTGAAGCAATTGCTAATGAGACGAGAGTGACACACGGCTCGAAAGCTGCGGAGCTTTTATTATGCCACACTTTAGCTCTTCCGCTCCTTCCGGTCGTGCGTATGTGGGGTAAAGCAGCGCTGTTTTATCATACTAGATACGTTTGAAAGTTCTGTTATAATGCTACTCTGTGCGGTCGTCACCTGTCTAATAAAACGCACAACATATTAAAGCAGTTTTTCTTTTTTAATAAATTTGCAAAAATGTCAACAATTCTGTGTTTTTCTGTCAATATGGGGTGCTGTGTGTACATTAATGAAGAAAAAAAATTAACTTAAATGATTTTAGCAAATGGCTGCAATATAACAAAGAGTGAAAAATTTAAGGGGGTCTGAATACTTTCCGTACCCACTGTAATCTAAAATTAAATGTGAAAATATTATATCATTATTAGGGATGAAACGATTAGTCGACATTATCGGCAACATCGACAATAAAAAAAAAAAAAAAATGTTGACAAATATTTATTTTGTCGAGTAGTCATTTAATCTAAGATGACCTAATGTTAGAACTTGAAATAATACGATTTGACCAGTGTGGCGCTGTAGCGCAAGACTGTAATTCAGCGCTCCTGGATGCAATTCAAGAGAAGAAGACACAGTGCTTTAGAACAAACACAGCCGAACCTCAAGCTGCTGAGCGGCGTTTGGATGAATATGCAAATAGATGCTGCACGCTTTCATCTCAATAATGAAATAAACACAACAAAAACTGACAGCGGTGAGAAAGCAGCAGTTAAGAACACATCTGATTACAACGATGTAGATGTTTGCACAAGCTCTGCAGTTAGGTATTCTAATAAAGTCCGGTCACGTCACGCTTATTTATATAGTACTTTATGCAATAGATAGCCTTAAATCAAGCAGCTTTACAGTATTAAGCATGCAAAACCAGAGTCCGTGTCGCTTTTAGTTAGAATTACAACTTGATTTTCTGTTATAAAGCAACTCTCCAAGTGTGGACCTAGCTAATGATAAAATCTTTTTATCAGTGGGAATGAGATCATGTTGTGAATAAAATAGCTTATCCAAAAATAAAACGTCTTATCACTTCCCTTTATTTAGTTTCTTATCCGTATGACTTACAAAAGGAGATGTTAGGCAGAACGATGTGCCATTCAGTTACTTTTTTTCATATAGCTAATTAAATGGTGAGTGAGAGTTTCTCTGTCTGTCATTTTGTGTATAAATTAATTGTATAATAATTGTAATTACATAATATGATTTTCAAAAACTGAAGTGATTTGCTTTATTTGTTTGCTTTATTAGAATATGTATAACTCAATATTTTAACATTGCAAAAGCGGAGTAATCAAAGTCTACTGGTTAATCGGTGAAATAATCGACGATTAGTTGATTGATCATTATAATAATCATGTTAGTTTAATCGATTATCAAAATAATAGTTTGTTGCAGTCCTAATTTTTATATTAAAATTCATTACAAATGAAGAGCTTCATATGATTAATCACTCCTGCAGAATAAATAATGTTCATGAATGGTGGATTTTAAAGCTTCCCCTAGTAGTGAAAATGTATATGTGTATTTGTGTGTGTTTGTCTTCTCTCAGTTCCATAAGCCTTCATGTACTTGACATCCACATTTTGTATATATATGTGTATGTGTGTGTGTGTTTTCTGAACCATCAGATTCACATAGATATTCCCCGGATGAGTCCAGAAAGTTTAGTTCTGCAGCCCAAGGTAACTGAGGTAAGGACAGATGGACCGCCCAAAATCACGTCACATGCTACTGTCCACCAGCCACTCAAAAGCATGTCACTCGATCATCATCCATCTATCTGTCTGTCTGTCTGTCTGTCAAACTCTCTGTCTGGTCAGCCAGCTGAGTCTCGAGACCAAAATGTTTTGTCGGAAAGCGTGTGTTAAGGTACACAGGAAATAGAATTCAGTGAGTTTCTTCTCAGGCGCAGCCTCAAACGGCCAGGCTTGTTTCTCGCTGAGCTTTCTCGCTAGTCCGTTCTGTCCTAACCTGCTTGTGCTCCTCTTTTTGTGTCTCTTCCCCGCAGATTCACATTGACATACCGAGAACTAATCCTCTTATACCTCTCTTTCAACAAGCTTCTGTGCAAGAGGTGAGACGTTTGCACCACCCATTTTACTCCGCTTGACTCGTTCATCCTTACAAACTCACACCCAGCCACTAGAAAGCACCTTAAAGAAACAGTTCATCTCAGAATAAACATGCTTATGTCTTTTCAAACCCATAAGATTGTATTTCCTCCATGTAACACAAGAGGAGGAATTCTGACTATGGTGGTCAGTGTTTTCCCTGCTTTCAAAATGACTGGTGAATAAAGCTTTAAGGATTCATAAAGGATCCAACTTCACCATAGAAATGTCATAAAAGTAATCTATACATAACATTGATGTGTGTGAAAGACTAGACCAAAATCTAGTCTAACCTAAAAAAGTTAGTATTTACTGTCTTAAGCATATATATACCCAAGTTGGGGATTTTTAAACAAATATTATTATTTATATTGTAAACTACTTTAATAAATGTAAAATATTGTTTCACATAAATTAAATGCAAAAAAAGTCAAATGTATTTTCATGATAATAAAGGACAATTTCTCATAATTCTGCAAAAATAAAACATAAATATTATATTATATGATATTATATTATATTATATTATATTAACGTCATTTTGTATTTGTCATACTGCCTTAAATGTATGCTAATAAAATAAAAATAATAAAAAAAAATAATAATAATAAAATAAAATAATGTCCGCTCTGTTCCGCATATGAATGTATTGTATGACTTCAGAACACTTTGAATGTAGGGCACAAGTCATATAGACCCCTTTACATCCTTTTTGAATCTTAGAAAATGTCAGTTCCAATTTATTATAATTGCATGGACAAAAGCAACCAATGCAGTTCTTTAAAATATTTTCTTCTGTATTGTTTGGAAGAAAATGCGTCATGCACTTTTGAAATAACATCAGATGAGTAAATAATGACCTTTTTTTTTTTTAAGAACTAATCCATTAAACTGAGTTCATTCACATTGAGTCGGCTGGCTTTGAAATACTATTGCTGCATTTATATCACATGAGAGCATGCAAAAAATGTCTTGTAATGACGTCTGTGCCATTGGGGCATGCACTAACAAAAATTATTTTTTTTAAAATCCGTTCCAGACTGCCTTATGGTCTACTTTTTTTATTTTTTATTTTTTTGGAGATGCTGGCTGAGTGTTTTTGTTGGCGTACATCAGTGTTTCTCAACCTTTTTTTAGTCACGGCACCCTTTGGAAATTTTAACAAACTTGTGGCACCCTACAAAATGAATTTTGTCACAATATTTGAATTTCTAACTTCGATATAATAATTTGAAAAGTATAGATATTCGGTACAACAGGGAAGAACTGCATAATATAATGAGCATGAACGGTATATGAGTGGAGCGACTGCGCGGAGCGCACACGCATAGAGCGGGATAATACACACACTCATAGAGCGGGATAATACGCAGAGCGTCACACCACGTGATAGTGAAACCTGAGCGGTGAACTAATTTTTGTCAGCCGGAATTTCGGTGAATCTCTAATTATTGGCGACATCAGAAATGGATATTATATAATAGATGCTTTTTTGAACATTTTAGCAATTTAAAAATATTAAAAAAGGATTTTTTACACGGCACCCCTGCTCTCGACAGACGGCACCCCGGTTGGGAAACACTGGCGTACATAACCAGACCCTTGATTTGCATATTCATATCATTAAATTTAGTGTTATGGGCTTGCTGGACATGGTATGTTGATGCATTGTGGCCCTGAGCAAGATTCCTCCTTCTCCTTTTCCCTCGCTGCCTTGGAAAAAATTATTCTGCATTTAAAAGGACTATCAAAAAGCATGCAGTGTTACGTAAAAGTATGGACAAGGCCTCCACTGTGGATGTCTCCTAACCAAATAAATGGATAATGTATTCGCTTCAGGCTCTTCAATACACTCCAGCTCGCTCATTGATTTCTGCTGCCTGGTTTAGTGTCTAATTTCCACTATGTAATGGACTTCTGGAGGAGAGCGAGATTTTGCCATGCCTACCTCGAGGAGATGGGAGGGTACGAGGGAGAAAAGAGGCAGGAGATGTCAGAGAAACTCACATTACCAGTCTAAAGTCTTTGATAAATGGAGCTTTGATCATAGAAAAGAACGCAGATGAGAAAGGCGCACCATTTGATCGACATGATCCAGAAAAAATCGAGCGTGAGCTGCCTTGTACACATTTATTGTTTAGGGCTCAACGTGCGAGATGAGTTTATTTGGGGATGACAGATACATTACGCCCTGAAAGGAGCGCGGGAGATGTCAGTTGCATGAGGCAGAGAGAAGAGAAGAGAAAGAGTCTTCCATTCTCCCTCTTGATTTAAGTCAAACTTCATGCTTCTTTCCATTGAGCTGACAGCAAGGTGAGACAAAAAATCTAAACAAAACAACAACAAAAAGTCACGCAGATACGCAGAGCGAACGTGGGCAGCCACGCCATCGTTTTCAAAAGTCTCCGTTTTGCTCCGTTTACACTGAAACGCAACCCCGGAGTTTTGAAACTAAAACGGGGTCTGCATCATTTTCAAAAGTCTCTGTTTTCGAGGGTCGAAAACGCTAGAGTAGTGTAAACGACAGGCGTAACCATAGCAAAAGTAATGCATTTTAAAACGAAAACACACTAGTGTAAATGGGGCCCTAGGTGCATGTCTCAGAACTCTGACTGTTTCTATAGCAACCGGGGCTTCTAACGGCAGCTGCAGTGACATGCTGACTTTACCAATTAGGGATTGGCTCTTTTGCTTAGAAGGTGGGGCTTCATTTGATAGCGCGGCCATATTGAGTGTTGCTTAAACTTAAACTTACCCCTAAAATTAGAAATGATCGATTGATATTGATTTATGTTTTTGACACATCCAACCCTAGCCCTAACTTAGGGGCCGTTTACACGACAACGTTTTCAGCCAAAAACGGGAAACTTTTTATGCATTCTGACTGTTTGTTTACACGACAACGGCGTTTTGGGGACTGAAAACACATATTTTTGAAAACGTGTTTCAAAGTGGAAATTTTTGAAAACGGCACCATTGTCGTTTCCGTGTAAACACCCAATACGGGAATCTTTGAAAACGGTGACGTCATGTGCATGCATAGTACGTGTTAGGTATGTAGACATGCGCAGTACGTGTCGATTTTAAAGGCAAGCGCGAACAAACATACACAACAATGGCGGAGTACATGGTACTGTTCAAGAGTTTGCTAACGTTTCTTCAGCGAAGTGTGGATATACTTCACCAATATTACAACCAACAGCGCAGACGCATCATATACATCATATAATCATCACTTCCCTACAGGTACTGTTTACTAACAAGGTGACAGCGCCAACTACTGGCCTGGCATACGTAATAGAGTGTTTTGGTCCGTTTTCGCGGATGTGTGTAAACGCGAATTGTTTTGAAACGAGGGAAAAAACTTTTCCGTTTTTGACTACACCGTTGTCGTGTAAACGTAGCCTTAATCCTAACCCTAAAATCTGATTGTTCAATTGCAGTGTTGTGCCAGAACCCACAATTATATAAATCCAGGAACACATCCAACTTGGCAAACCACAAATAAAGAGAGAGCCCCATCTAATAATAAATATGCACACAGCTACTTGTAATTTCTCACCTTGCTGTCTGTGCTATTGAATGTTGTGATGTTAATGATTAAAAAGCTCAGAAGGCTTAATTGATTTTCTTAATTGATTGCTGGCTGGGGGTGGCTGATCCCACTGTGTCTCTAATTAAAACCGTTTGAGTGACCTTGTACGCTCAAATTCTACTATTAACAGTTTTCCTGTTGTATTGCATGAATCAGTATATATCAATATCTGCTACTTACAAATGCTGAATATATATATTCTGATATCATCTTCTTCTGCTGCTTTTTACTAGATCTTTGAGCGTATTCTGTTCATCTGGGCGATACGACATCCAGCCAGTGGTTACGTTCAAGGCATCAATGACCTTGTCACACCCTTCTTCGTTGTTTATGTTTTCGAGTATATCGGTAAGTCAATAAACCTTTTACAATATGAGATTGAGAGTTATGAGTTATGAATCCAAAAACAGCACAGCTGTGTAAACTCACTAGTTTTCTGTTCTTCGCTTTTGGTGTTAAGCCAGCGTGGGTGTTTTATGCCCAGTGGCATGAATTTTAATATCATTTCTCAATCACAATTTCATAAAATTTGTCATAACTTGCCCCTTTAAACCTTTCCAAGGATCTTCCTTTTCTTTGTGAGATTCAATCGTTGTGATTGTTCCCAATGTCTTTCATTTTCTTGACCTTTACACCTTTAAGTGCTTGATTTCCAGTAGACTTAACGGGATGTCCAGACTAATGATTTTGAAGGGCCCAGAGGGACCCTTCCAATGGACTTATGAGACAGTAATAACCTGAACCATGCAATGAACAAGGGTGGCTCAATTGATGCACTCAATGGATGGAGGATGGGGGTCTTTTCCCCAGGCTCTGCAGTCGTTGGCATCCATGGGGATACATTTTCCTGGGTCGTTTGACCTTGTCTAATCCTGAAGAATCAAAGCCTCCACTTTGTTTTTACAAGTTCCGTCCAATTTGTCCTTCAGGCCTGAAAAATACTCTACACAAATACACAAATGCTTTGTGTGACAGTGGTTGACCTGAAAGAGAATGGTTATGTCGCATCAGTGCTCATTACCATACATTTCTGCCCAACTTTGTAGCATTGCCAACCGTTGCAGTTGCTCATATCGCTTCAAATCACACACTCCCCTGAGAATGAGTGACTTCTGGGTGCTTTGTCACACCAAATCGCTCTCAATGTGAACGCTCCTTTCAGAATTATGTTGTAAGCTTTTGTTAATGCAGTGATGTTTATATTTGAGAATGTGTATCTGAAGCTTGAGCAATGAGTAATCCATATGTAATCATAGAAGTAATCAATCTAACATTCTTGCATCGAGTATGTTTCGGGCCTAAGACATCCTGTAGTGATATGTCTTGGTTTTGATGTACCATTTGTTATTTCCTTTCTTGTTTTCTTGTTTTCTCCCAGCACTGTTTCTTGCTGGTCTCATGGTGAAATGAGATGCTTAATTGTTCCTTCTCTGAAAGGCGTACTTTATTTCTGTTTTGTATGCCTCTGTGTTTGTATACGCTGTGTGTATTTGCCATAAGATGACGACAATGCCTTAAGAAGGCGCCTGTTCTCCTATGATAAAGATGTTTGGGAGAACTCTCTCTCTTCAGTGTGTGTGGAGGAAAGTTTGGTGGAAAATGTATCTGTACCAACTTTCTCAGCTATTTATTTCCCACAACTCCACCTGGCGCAATAAGGCATGGTGCCATGTGTGACAGATACTCATTCAAATCGCTCTCAATGTGAACGCTCCTTTCAGAATTATGTTGTAAGCTTTTGTTAATGCAGTGATGTTTATATTTGAGAATGTGTATCTGAAGCTTGAGCAATGAGTAATCCATATGTAATCATAGAAGTAATCAATCTAACATTCTTGCATCGAGTATGTTTCGGGCCTAAGACATCCTGTAGTGATATGTCTTGGTTTTGATGTACCATTTGTTATTTCCTTTCTTGTTTTCTTGTTTTCTCCCAGCACTGTTTCTTGCTGGTCTCATGGTGAAATGAGATGCTTAATTGTTCCTTCTCTGAAAGGCGTACTTTATTTCTGTTTTGTATGCCTCTGTGTTTGTATACGCTGTGTGTATTTGCCATAAGATGACGACAATGCCTTAAGAAGGCGCCTGTTCTCCTATGATAAAGATGTTTGGGAGAACTCTCTCTCTTCAGTGTGTGTGGAGGAAAGTTTGGTGGAAAATGTATCTGTACCAACTTTCTCAGCTATTTATTTCCCACAACTCCACCTGGCGCAATAAGGCATGGTGCCATGTGTGACAGATACTCATTCAAAGTGTGCTATGTGGGCCAAGTGCTGACTGCTGAGGGCAAGCAGTAGCAAAACATCACGGCTTCACTCTGACGAGAGACCCATATCCATCAATGCCTGTGTAACGGCACACGCCAAAATTCACTACTTGTCTACAGTGTATGGGAAGGTACTTTAAATTATGAGTAGCTTGGATAGATACTGTTGCAGCTACAGTCAGTACAAATTAATTATGCATCAACTACGGATTAATAGTTCATACAGAAATGAAAACTCTTCCATTATTAACTTATTAACCTCATGGTATTCCACACCATTTGTGGAACTCAAAAGAGATCTTTTGAATGTTGTTCAGTTGCAGTAAACCGGGACTGAAGCTTTTAAGCTTAAAAAAGTCTTCAAAGCGGTCCATGACTTGTGCACTATACCCCATATCTTCTGAATCATAAAGTACCTTCATGAGAAAAAGACCAAAATTCTAGTCCTTTATCCGCTGAGAAGCTTGACATCTCCCTAACTCACATTGATGCATTAATGAGAGTAATAATTTTGACTGATGTGTGAACAAATCTTGTTTGACTTGATCCTGTCAACAACTTACAGGAGGGGAAGATTACCATGAAACAGAACAAAACTAATTGTATCCATAGATTCATTATCTATTCATTATCATAAATAGTGTAAATCACTATTTTTGTGCCAAGGAAAGCTAAGGTGGATATAAATGTTTCAGTGGATAACTTCACAGCTACTTTTAATTAGTTTCTCCCAACATTGCTCGTCTAAAATACTCTGGATCAGAGAATAAGCCTTTATTTAGATGGTGCAGCCCAGAATGAAATACACCCATAAATTCCTTTTAGCAGAATCATGTAATTTCTTTAAGCCACTGATTGTTTTTGATTCCTGCTTTAAAAAATGTATGATGACAGGGCTAAATCAGGGGCCAGTTAGTGCTTTGGCTGTGTGTACATTGCTGTTAGGGCATCGCATTATTAAACAATCATTTTCATTACGCTTGTAAATAAATGCAAGAGGAGAAAGGAAAAATCTTCTTTGGGTTTTTCTGCCCTTGTTCTGAGAGCCTTCAAAATATATTTGAATACAATTTGCTCCCAACAAATGAAATTTATAATCTGCTCAGGGGGTTCTTGTACTTTGAAGGCCAATGCCTGATGGAAGAAAAAGCAAACTGAAGTTAAATTCAATCCTATTGATTTGTGCTAGTAGCAAGACTGCAGGGAATCTTCCTCATGGTAGTCAAACTATTGTACAGGAAGCCTGAAAGTTTTTTTGCAGTTTTTGATTGCTTGAGTAATTTTACAGAGCCATCAGCATCAAGTCTGACCCACATTCATGATTCTTCTGGCCAAAAAAATCAACAACAACTCGGACTGAAAAAAAAAAGTCTGACTCACAATGCAAAGCAAGAAAATTAAGTTAGTTTTAGGAGTTTTTAGGGTCGGAGTATCAGGAATAGCTCACCTCAAAATGATAATTCAAATGACAATTTAATGAATATCCGGTTGGGTGAATTCATTGTAATGGCAGGACATTGTGACTTACTTTAATGCTTAGTAAAGCACCCAAGGGTGTCAGCAAAAAAAGCGCATACAACTTTTCGAGTGCCCCGATCGTTTATGGCATACTTAGCTATGCTTCAAGCATAGAAGCAAGGTAAAATGTATACAAATATAACGTGAGCATGGTTTAACGTGCATAATGTTGTACCATCCACCCTTGTTTGTGTACATTTTAACTTGCTTTTATGTTTCATTTGCGTCACTTCATAAATGTATGTAGTGATGTACTAAATAAACTCATGTTTTGTTACGTTACAGAAACAACTGGGAAAGTTACAAAATAGAAACTGGGCTGTTCCTATGCAGGTGTCATGCATTTGTGCATTGCATGCTTTGTCCTATAAAGCAAGCTATCGGATGATCAAAAGCAAAAGCCAGGTTCGAATTTTTCACAGTAACATGGTTGTTAATAACATAATGCAATTATGATTCATTTAAAAACTTTGTCTACTTAGCAAAACAAATCTGCAAATCCTTAACATGTTGTAACTCAAGTATTAAACATCTAATGTTATCCTTTAACCTTTCGGCTAACATGCAGTTTGATGATTTTTACTGTTAACTGATGGTTCCACAAAGCAACTCTCTGTGCCTTTTAATCTGTAAAAACAATATGTTGGTCAGCTTCTAGTGGATGGCACAGTAAATAACGTGAGCTTGAATGATGACATATTTTCATTTTTAGGTGAACTACTTTAAAGGGGACATCGGATGCCTATTTTCCACAAGTTAGTATGATTCTTTAAGGTCTTCATGAAATGTCAGCAAAATGTTTTGGTAAAAATTCCTCAATGGTTGTGTAAAACGACACCCTTTTTACCTTGTCAAAAACAGCTCTGTTCACAGCGAGCCATTTCAGTGCATGGCTCTTTAAATTATAATGAGCTACTGCTCACCCCGTCCCTGTCTTCTGTTTTTTTTTGTGTATTTGGTGGCACATTACCTTCAAAAACAAAAACAAAAAAAAAACTGCATCCTCAGTGGTTCTCTAATCAGGAGACTACAAAACCCCTGCATTGCTTACGATACATTGTTGTCGCTACAGCAGTTGGAGCGCAGAGAAAATGGCAGACAGCATACAACTGGTTGAGAGTGGAAATATGCTAATATGGGACAGTCTGTCAGCAGTAGAAACAGCTTGATAATTGAGACTGTTTAGGTTCTTTGGGGATTAAAAAATGAGTGAATGTATTTTTTATCATTGTAGGGTGGCTGTGTCCACACACTGTTGCATCCGATGTCCCCTTTAAGCCTATGCTACCTGGCTGCAATAATAGAATGCATCAAAGCTGTTTTACGTACAACACAGAAAAAGTTAACAGAACATTTTGTCCGTTCAAAAGCAAATAGTTCTTCCTCAGAAGCGTTAATTGCACAAGTCAAAGTAGAAACATGACTTGGTTTCCTGGTGGACTGATTAAACACATCTGTTTAAAGGACTTTTCACTTCTGGAGATTGTGTAGTAATCTGATTGGAGCAATTTTCCTCTGCAATATACATCAGACATTTTTAGGTTTAAAGTCATTTTCTTTTGCC